TGCACCACTCAAGAGATGAAGAACTGCAGACTGGATAAGAAAACATAACCCATCAATATGCTGTCTACAAGAGACACACCTTAGAGAGAAAGACAGAAATCAACTAAAAATCAAAGATTGGAAAAAGATATATCAAGCAAAGGGCAATCAAAAAAGAGCAGGAGTGGCAATATTAATTTCTGATCAAATTGACTTTAAGACAAAAAACACCATAAGAGACAAGAAAGGACATTATATAATGATTAAAGGATTGATTGAACAAGAAGACATAACAATAATAAATATCCATGGACCCAATGAAAGAGCCCCAAAATACATAAATCAGACTTTAATAGAATCGAAAAGACAAACAGATGACTCCACAGTCATAGTATGAGACTTTAATACACCACCTTCAATCAAAGATAGAACAACTGGAAAGAAACTCAATAAAGATGCAGAATAATAAACAATGCAATCCATCAACTTGAACTTATAGACATCTACAGAGCACTTAACCCAACAACAGGACAATATACATTCTTTTCCAGTGCACATAGAACATTCTCCATGACAGATCATATATGTTAGGCCACAAAGCAAGCCTTAATAAATTTTAAAACATTAAAATACTGCAAAGCATTGTCTCAGATCACAATGCTATCAAATTAGAAATCAACAATAGGAAGATCAATGGAAAAAGAGCAAACACATGGAAACTGAATAACATTCTCCTTGAAAATGACTGGGTAGTAGAAGAAATAAAAAAAATGAAATGAAAATATTCCTTGAATCAAATGAGAATGAAAATACAACATACCAAAATCTCTGGGATACAGTAAAAGCCATGATCAGAGCCAATTTATAGCAATAAATGCACACATAAAAAATGAAGAAAGAGCCAAAATAAACACCTTGTGGTAGTTCAGTTTGTGTGTCAACTTGGCTGGGCCTGGTTGAGTGGCCGGGCAGCTGGATGTAGTATTCCCCATGGTGGAATCTACTGGGAGCACCTGGGAGCCTTAGGGAATGTGGTCTGCTTCCTGTATATAAGCAGAAGCCTTGGGGAATGCTCTAGCTATGGCATGCTTGAACCTCGCATGTAGCCATGTCACTGTTCAGCAGCCTGCCATGCTCTGCCGACCTTGGGACTTTTGAAGGACTTAAATTAATGGCCTGACATGTGGTTTGGTAACATCAGGACTGTGCCTTTTTACTTGTCAACCTTGGGTTTGTCTGCCTCAGCAGCTGAGGCAAAGAAATGCCTCTAGCTTCAGTGGGCCAGGAGCATAAGGCAGAGCTGGACCCCAAGGTTGAGGGGCTTTCACTCAGCCCCTAGAGCATGGCACTTTGAATTTGGACTTAAAGCTTCCTAACTGTAAGAGAATAAAATCCTGTTTGTTAAGGCCATCCCATTCGTGGTATATTCTTGTCGGAGTGCCACTAGGTAACCAGAACACACCTTAACCTAACAACTCCCAAAATTAGAAAACGAGCAGCTTAGCCTACAGTCACCAGAAGAAAATAAATAATAAAAATTCAAGCAGAAATAAATGAAACAGAAAGTAGAAATAGAAAAAATCAAGAAGATCAGAAATAGGTTTTTTGAAAAGATTAATAAAATTGACAAACTGTTGGCAAATTTAACAAAGGAAAAGAGGGAGAAAATACACATAACACAAATAAGAAATTAATTGGGCGATGTCACAACAGAACCAACAGAAATTAAAAGGGTAATATAAAGATACTATGAAGAATTTTAACTTTGAAAATCTAGATTTTTAGAAACATACTACTAGAGTGTGTCTAACACACACTCAGGTGGAAATTTGAACAGACCCAAAACAAAAGAAGAAATTGAACAGTTAATGAACAGTTAAAAAAAAAAAACACAAAAAACAAAACTATAAACAAAAAAAGTCCTGGCCCAGACAGTTTCACTGGGAAATTCTACTGGACGTTCAGAGAAGAACTGACACCAATCCTACCGAAACTATTCCAGAACACAGAAAAGGATGGAATCCTCTCAAATTCATTTTATGAAGTAAGCATAACCTTGATACCCAAACCAGGCAAAGACATCACTAAAAAGGAAAACTACAGATCAATATCCCTAATGAATATAGATGCAAAAATCTTCAACAAAATCTAGCCAATAGACTACAACAACATATTAAAAAAATAAGACATTATGACCAAGTGGGGTTCCTATCAGGTATGCAAGGATTGTTCAACATTGAATAACAGTCAACATCATCCATCACATAAATAAAACAAAGGATAAGAAGCACATGATCATATCAATCGATGCAGAAAAGGCATTTGATAAAATCCAATATCCAATCCTGGTAAAAACTCTCAGCAGAATAGGAATAGAAGGGACATTCCTCAACATAATAAAGGGCATATATGCAAACCTAACAGCAAACATTATTCTCAATGGAGAGAGACTGAAACCATTCCCCTTGCAAATAGGAACCAGACAAGGATACCCTCTATTGCCACTTCTATTCAACATTGTGCTGGAAGTCCTAGCCAGAGCAATAAGGCAAGAATATGGAAATCAAAGGCATCCACATTCATAAGGAGGAAATCAAACTATCCCTATTGGCTGATGATATGATCCTATACATAGAAAACCCAAGAGACTCAGCAAAAAAACTACTGGAACTGGTTGAGAGATTAGGCATAGTAGTGAGATACAAGCTCAACATCTAAAAATCAGTTGGATTCCTCTACACCAGCAAAGAGATTGCTGAAAAAGAAATACAGAAATCAATACCATTTACAATGGCTACCAAAAAAATAAAATACTTGGGAATAAATCCTATCAGGCACACAAAAGACCTGTAAAAAGAAAACTATAAAAGACTACTTCAAGAAACCATAAGAGAGCTACATAAATGGAAGAACATACTATACTCATGGATAGAAACATTGAACATTGTGAAAATGTTAATACTACCCAAAGCAATCTATACATTCAATGCAATCCTAATCCAGATCCCATCAATATTCTTTAAGGATATGGAAAAAGCAATTTTATATGGAAAGGAAAGAGACCTCGGATAAGCAAGGCAGTATTGAAGAGGAAGAAGAATGTGGGAGGTCTCACACTCCCGGATTTCAAATCCTACTATACAGCCACAGTAGTCAAAACAGCCTGGTATTTGTACAATGACAGATGCATAGACCAGTGGAACAGCATTGAGAACCCAGAAATAGATCCATCAACCTATGGTCAGCTGATTTTTGATAAAGGGCTGAAATCCATTAAATGGGGGAAGAGATGGTCTCTTTAACAAATGGTGCTGGAAAAACTGGATATCCATTTACAGTAAAATGAAATAAGAGCTGTACCTCACACCATACACAAAAACTAAATCCAAATGGATCAAAGACTTAAATGTGAAACTTAAAATTATAAAGTTCTTCAAAGAAAAACTAGGGGCAAATTTAGGGGCTCTAATTTATGGCATAAATAGACTGTCAGGTATAACCCAAAATGCACAAAAAGCAGAAGATAAAGTAGACAAATGTGACCTTCTAAAAATTAAATTTTTATGTGCTTCAAAATACTTCTCCAGAAAAATAAAAAGAGAACCTACAGAAAGGGAAAAAATATTCAGCAATGACATATCTGACAAGGGACTTATCTCCAGAATTTATAGAAAACTCCAACACCGAAACAACAAAAAGACTAGAACTAGAAAAGCCAGGGGGTGGCCTGCAGTGTAGTAAATTACTTAGTGTGGCTTTTCTACCCATAAGTCTTTGTAAACTCCAAGGTGGGATTTTCTATGAGCAACTGAGGAGCTCCTGATTGCTGAAGTTGTCCACCTGGAGTATTTCTGTTGGGCGTGGCACAAAACAATGTTCTGGGAGGTGCCCACTCTCTCTCCGGTGCTTAGAGTTCTGATGCTATGATTGGCTAATTTGACCACCCTGCCAGGCTCAAAAGGAGGCCTCCTAGAGGCAGAACTCTCTCTGGCTGCTGGTTGAAGAAGATGTGCTGCTGAAAGAGACACAGGCTCCTGAGACACGCATTCCTGGGAAAGAGATGCAAGAGACATGCATTGCTGAGTGAGACACTGAGGGACTGGCACTGCTGGGAAAGAGACTGTGAGAGACTGTTGGCTGAGGGACGGTGGGCTGGGAGAGAGACTGAGCATTTTTTCCTGAACCTGAATTGTAGCCTGTGGTGCTTCCCTAATAAACCCCATAATCTGTGAGCTCTGTGTGGCCACTGCAGCGAATTATTGAACCCAGAGGAGAGGTGGTGGGTGCTTTGGGAGGAACGGTTGGAGAAAGGGCTGGAGGGAGGCAGCATGTCTGGCCTGCCAGGAATAAGCTTTGGGTTACTGCTGGTAATCCTGTCTTCCTCTTGTGGGATTAGAGGAGGTCAGAACATGTGGCCTCCTTGCCCTTTTTTGCACAATACAATTAAAAAATGGGCAGAAGACATGAATAGACACTTCACCAAAGAGGATATTCAGGCAGCAAACAAACACATGAAGAAATGTTCTTGATCAGTAACCATTAGAGAGATGCAAATCAAAACAACAATGAGATATCATATTGCCCCAGGACTAATAGCAAAGTTCAATAAGACAGAAGAGAACAAATGCTGTCAAGGATGTGGAGAGGGTGGGACTCTTATACACTGCTGGTGGGACTGTGGAAAGCAGTATGGCAATACCTTAAAAAGTTGGAATTAGAAATATCATTTGATTCACCAATTCCATTACTAGGTATATATCCTAAAGAAATGAGAGCCAGGACAAGAAAATATATAGGCACACTCATGTTCATTGCAGCACTATTAACAATAGCAAAGAGTTGGAAACAATCTAGGTGCCCATCAACAGAAGAATGGATAACCAAACTATGGTATATACACACAATGGAATACCATGCAACCCTAAAGAATAATTCAAAATCTGCAAAACACCACATAACGTGGAGGACATTATGCTGTGTGAAATAAGTCAATCACAGAAGGAGAAATATTGATTTAATTATTATAGTAAAAAGTCAAGGAAAGGTTTATATATGGAAGGAAACTTTCTTTGTTGGTTTGAACACAGCTAAAATAAACAAATTTCAAAGAAAATTTGAAAAAGAAAACTTTTGAGGCATTACAATTTAAATCGAATTTATATACAATTTACATCAAAAGTTTACTTTTGACTGCTAATCAGAAGTCTGGACATTCAAATCCACCAGCCACTCCTCGTAAGAAGTTTGAGCAATCTACATCTGTAGTGATACTGCCTCGGTCGCTATAAGTCAGATCTGACTCAATGGCAGTGAGTTAATTTTTAAAGAGACAGGCCTTAATTTTTTAATAGGATAATAACAACTTTGTAAATAATTTTTAAAAAAACTCTGCTTACTTACTTTCTTTCAGGTAGGATGAAAGACTGTGAGTCAAGTCATTGGCTTTGAGGAAACAAGAGTCTAGAAATATGAGAAATGTGTTAGGTTGAGAATTTTGCAAATACACACAGAATCAAAATAGATTACATGTGAATGACGTATATTCTTGGTCAAGATTTAAAAACATCAGTGAAATGGGGGTTCATTATATGTTGTTATGCGTTGTCTAGTATTTTAAAATAAACTTATAGCCCTCCACTGAGCTGCCCATGATTTCTTGTTGTTAAATTGGTTCTGACTCATAGCAACAGTATGTGCAATAGAAGGAAACACAGCCTGGTCTTGTGCCCTCCTCATAATTGTTGCTATGTTTGAGTACATTGTTGCAGCAACTGAGTCTAATTTCTTAGAGTAGTGAAAACAGAAGCTTGTTGTATCATCATTCAGTGGACTAACAAAACATCTTTATTTTTTTTTTAAATCCACAGACTAGGCAATACACAAAGGCAAAGTTTAAGCCTTTGAAAAAAATCTATGAAGAAATGCTAAAAATCACTAGTCATCACAGAAATGCAAATTAATGAGACATTTTACATACTCATTAGAATGGCCAGTGTTATAAAGATGTTTACTATTAAGTGTTGTCGAAAAAGCAGGGCAATGGGAATTCTTGTGAAGTATAGGTGCAAACGTAAATTGGTATAGGTAATGTGGAAAGCATTTAGTAAAATTCAGATGTATTCATCTTATGACCCAGTAATGTCACTCCTGGGTAAACAATGCAAAGAAATTCTTGTGTGGTCTGTAAACATGTTACAGGACGGGAGAATTGCTCACATGTGTCCCTGTCTCAAAGGGACACACATAATGATATTCATCCTGGCATAGTTTGTGATAGTGTGGGGCTGGAAGCAACCTAGCTGTCCCTATCTGGGAAAATGGTTAAGTATGTTGGCAATGAAACACTGACTATGTAGCCTGTAGAAGCAATGAACTAGATATATATAAAACCATGCAGACACATCTTGAGAAAAGTGTTAAGTGAGGAAAGAAATAGAACGAAAGCTTCAGCACAAATCATTTAGATAAATTTAAAACACACACACACAATGACATAACATATTTTATAAGGATGCATAAACATTTAAAAACAGATATCAACACATTAGAGTGAATGCCGAAAGGGAAAAGAAAATGGGAGTGTGAATTGGGGAAGAATAAGCATAATGCAACAAAATGCAACACAACATAACACATTACAATAAAGCATAGGGGCCTTCCCTGAACAATGATGATCACGGTCTGAGAACTATGTAGTTTGATTAACTCTGGCTCTGAGATGTCAAAACAAAAGCACTATCATTTTTATCATCCTGATTTTCTCTTCAAGAAAAAGTAACATATCAGAGTGCTAGGGAGTAAATTATTACTAAATTAAATTAAATTCATATTGTGATCCATCCAGCACATCTAATTCAGATTATGTGAGTAACTTCAAATGTGTTCACTCCTATACTTTGTGGAGCCACTGATGGACTTTAAAACCGTTATTTTCCAAACTTGGATATGATCAGAATAACCTGGAGCACTTTTCAAAAGATAGATCCTTGGGATGGACTACCTTTGGATCAGTGAGTCAGAGTCCCTTAGGGTGGGCCTGGGAATCTGTTCTTTTAAGAAGTTCCTTGGTGATTCAGTTGCAGCTAGCTTATCCAAACCCAACCCAGTGCAATTGAGTTGATTCGGATTCATAGAGACACCTAGGGACAGAGTAGAACTGCCCCATAGGGTTTCCAAAGCTGTAAATCTTTAGGGAAGCAGACTGACTTTTCTTTCTCCCACAGAGCAGCTGGTGGGTTCAAACCACTGATAGTTTGGCTAGTAGCCAAGTGCTTTAACCACTGTACAGGGAGAGCTCTTTAGCTAGCCTAAGCATTTAGGAATCACTGATCAAAACCACACTCTAGCTCTCAGGAGGCCAGCTGGGAGTCTAATTAGCCCCAAGCAGCTTCTGCCTCAAAAACCTTAATTAAGCGCTCATGTGTAAGACATTAACAATGTACAGTGCACAACATTAATTGAAAAGACATGTTCCTGCCCTAAAGACACAAACAACCTCAAATAAAAATGAAGTTAGACACTTGGCAACAAAATAGGCACAATGTTTTATTATTTATATCTACCTTTTATAATTATCCCTTCCTGAACCTGTTTCAAATAACTAACAGTATCTCCCTCCCCTCATCTAGTGTGGGGCTTCCTCTCTGTCCTAGGCCTCATCGTTATGGTGATAGAGTTTTTCTCCTAAACCTTCCTATGATGTCTCAGAATGGCCTAACTTCCTAACTGGAAAAGGTAGCCTATTCTTTTTGGTTATAAGTATTTCTAACATACTTTTCTTTCTCCCTACACCAAGTCATAGAAGCTCTGGTAGCGTAGTGCCTAAGGCACTTGACTGCTAACCAGAAGGCTGGTGGTTCAAACCTACCAGCCACTCCTCGGAAGGAAGGTTAGCCAATCTATTTCCGTAGTGATACTGCCTCGGAAACCCAAGGAAACCCAAGGGGTCGCTATGAGTCGAGTCCGAATCGATGGCATATAACAACAACACCAAGTCATAACCATACCATGCTTACCTATTGAACTCTAATATAACACTAATATAACACAGACTCATGAAACTGAAATGGCATCTTAAAAATTTCCTCTGACCTTCGACTTTGTACAATTCTAGAGAGAATAGAATGTTCCATGAGATTACAGCATAGTAGTGGTCTCTGGTTGTGCAAATATTAAGTGCTAGTCTACTAGCCACAACGTGGGTAGTTTGAACCCATCCAGAGACATCTTGGAAGACAGGCCTGGTGATCTACTTTTGAAAGGTCAAAGCTTTGAAAACCCTATAGAGAAGTTGTACTCTGCATACCTGGGTCGTCATGAGTTGGAATTGATTCTACAGTAGCTAACAACAACAACCTAACCCACTGCCATCAAGTCGATTGAGACTTATAGCGGACAGAGTACAACTGCTCCATAGGGTTTCCAAGGCTGTACATTTTGACAGAAGCAGACTGCCTCACCTTTCTCCCATGGAGTGGCTGGTGGATTTCAACTGTTGGCCTTTTGGTTTAGCAGCCCAATCCTTTACTCACAGTCCCACCAGACCTCCCTAACAACAACAAAGTGGTTCTGTCACTTCACAAATTCTTGTGAAGTTCAAATTAAAGTCTTGTAAAGAATTAGAAGGAAAAACTGACCACTGAATCATGGCAAAACAAACTTCAGTTAAAGTTTGAGGAGAGGTTTTGTTATTATACTTGATTACTGAGATAAAGCAGTTAGGACATAGCACTCCTCCAAAGGAACTGGTGTGCTAAGAGGTATGGTCTGTTACTGCTGTTGGAGCCATCTGGGCTCAATAAGTCTAAAACTCCAGATCTTGCTCATATGGAAATGCACTCCTTCAATTCCCTAAAGGGTATTCTTCTTGGAAAAGAAACAGAGAGGGGCACTCGTGTCTCCAAACCCAATGTGTGTTTTATAAAAAAGCACATCACAAAGGAATTATAAAAATTCAGGGAACAGATTGTTTTTTAGCTTCTCAGCCTTCTAGAAAGCATAAAGTTGTAAGGGAAAAGGAAATCAAGCTACCCTTGACTTTTTCTAAAAACAGTATGAGATATTCCTAGCAATCTATAAATAGCTCATCTAAAGCAGTGACACCCAAACTTTTTGTGGTTTCATTTTATGGCTACATCTCGTTTCTGCCATCCTTGCCCAAAGAGAGTTACGGGATTAACCAGGGTTAATTAAAATTAGTAGTTTTAAGAATTTTATAATATTCTTTAGCTTAATTATAAATACTCAAAGACAGTGGTTCTCAAATTCTAGCAGGATTAAAAATTACCTAGGGGAGGCAGCAGCCTTGGCTAACAAGGCAAAATTTTGTCCTTACCTTTAGATCTAAAGTTTAGGAGCTCTGGTGGCACAGTGGTTAAGGCATTCGGATGCTAACTAAAAGGTCAGTGGTTTGATCAGCTGCTTTGCTGGAGAAAGATGAGATAGTCTACTTTCATAAAGATTTGTTATTGTTGTTGTTAGGTGCCACGGAGTCAGCTCTGACTCATAGCAACCCTCTGTACAACAAAATGAAATATTGCTCAGTTCTGCATCATCCTCACAATCCTTGCTGTACTTGAGCCCACTGCTGCAGCCACTGTGTCAACCCATCTTCTTGAGGGTCTTCCCCTTTTTCGCTGACCCGCTACTTTACCAAGCATGTTATCCTTTTCCAGGAAATGGTCCCTTCTGGCAGCATGACCAAAACAGGTGAGATGAAGTCTGGCCGTTCCACAAAGATTTACACCCATGGAAATCCTATGGGGCCAGTTCTACTCTGTCCTATAGGGTCGAATCAATCTGATGATAATGGGTTTGCTTTTTTTCTTTTGTTAGATAGCTCCCCTGAAAAAGACTGGGATGGGACCAGAAAGACTACCCTAAGAACAAAACCATGACTAAAAATTCATGGTTAAAAACACCAACAATAAGAACAACAACAACAATAAAAAAAAACTAAGATGCATTTTAAGGCTAAAGATATATCTGTAAAGGACGAATAGCTCTACTTTTGGGAGCTCTGGTAGTGTAGTGCCTAAGGC